GCCTACACATGGGTGAGTGACTTCAAGCACCCAATCGCCAGGAATGGCTAAATCTTCAGAACTTTTGGGGCGCGAAGAGCATATGTCACCATTGCCGAGCAACCAAATCCAATTTCTTGACACCCATGGCCACAAGCTTTGCTCGCCATGATGCTTCCAGCTTCCGCCAAGAGTGTGCCAAGCCTGGCCCTAAAAGCACCTGCCTCATTTGCAAACAAGAAGTTACTTTGAATCGAGTGGCCAAGGTAAACCAATTGCTGAGTGAGTCGCTTTACTTGTGCGCACCCACACCGAGGCCCACTGCTGGGTCTTCCAGCATTTTCCCCTCATTATGTCAAATGGTGTGCGATGCACAGCGTGAATTTGGGAATAGACCTTCTTCTTACCGGGGGTGTGATGCGGGCCCTGTTGGATCGCCACGGGGCTTGGGGGGGATCCGAGAAGGGGGAAGCGGACCGGTTGCTTTGCGCATATGATGATCTCCGAGAGTGGGCGCGAGAGCGGAAGATCCCGAAACTTAGCTGACCAGTATGAGCGCACGCGCCACAATGTTCCATGGCCACCCGAGAACAATTATTTTCAACTTGCAGCAAAGGATCAGCCAACCCACATTTCGGCCTCGCTCTTTGAAATCATCCCAGAGCCCATATCCCGAGTTGAGCGCCAAGGCGTTCAATGTCCTGGCCTTAACTTTTATCGGGTGCTCAATTGGGTGGGTGGGGGGTTGAAGTTGGCTTCTGAGGCTCGAGTAGTCCTGGCTTGGTTGGCAGACAAGCTGATGTCCATGATCAGTGAGTTGGGGGAATCTGGATCAAGCGAAGAGCTCAAACTAATGGGGCACACCACGTGCCCCAGCAGCACCAACGTGCAATTCCAGTACGTAAGGTTCAAACTTGACTAATGGTCGTGTTGCCCTTCCCGTTTGCCCAGTGCTCCAGCCTGCGAGGTACCATCTTGCTGAATGGCACAACCTTTGCGAAGAAGGCGGGCGATTCCTGACGCCGGAGGAGGCTCGGGCGTTGCAGGCCTGCTTTGACCCAAGGTTGCATTTAAACTAGAGGCGTTGGCCTCACACAAATTTAAAGAAGGACGTCGCTCTTGCGCGTGTTTGGGGCCTAAGGAGAAATTTCAGGAGGGGTACCTTCGCTTGGCGGCCATGTCGATCACAGAGAAGCGCTTGTTATGGCCGTGCAGACCGAAGCTCCATGCATCTTGGTCAGCCACATAATTTTTCACTATTTTGACCCACGCGTTTTCGAACACTGGCATTTTTAAAACGGTGGCCGAGGCAATGGCAGAGCTGTGCCGAGCACAAGTTGTGGAATGCGCATTGGCAGCAATAGTGAAAGGACCCCTTGCCTGATTGGGATCTGCGCGCATCATCGGCAACGGCCTGGCGCAAGCTTGTCATCATGTGGTGATTGCCGCTAAGGCTACAACTGCCGTTTTTACAATGGATTTGGATCTGAAGATTTTGTTGGACGCCTCGTGAACTTAGCTGCGTGTTGTCACAAAAACCAGGTCGAAACCAGTGTGCTTACACGGTTTTACTTGGGCCTTGCATCTGATCATGACCTTGGTCAATTCGATGACTTGTAATTACAAGTCCGCAATAAACTGCAGTGCAAATCATGCCGGCAGCACTTTGCGATGGCGTGCCGGGGCAAAAAGAGCAGGAATGGCTGCAGAGAGCGCAGCAGCCCGTGTCCGAGCGATCCCTCACATCACGCCAGAGCACCTTATGCTCAGGAGAATGGCCTCAGGAAAAACATCCCCCTAGAATGGTCTTCGACCCCAAGTCCGAAATAATCATGTCCTCGGGACCCTATGGGAAAGAATCCACAGGGCGGAAAAAGCGCCGGATGAATCATGATGAATCCGAAGTTAACCGTCGCGAATCTGAGCCACTCGATGGGCGGATTCATGAAACCTGCGCCCGCCCACTTGAGCCGGTCAGTAGGGGATGCTCACCGAACACAGGCTCCGATCCCGACTGGTCAAAGGAACTCTCTAAAATGGAGCAGTCCTTGCCAAAAGGGAACCACCCACAAGCACGGTCCTTCGGATTAGTTCGAAGTTAAATTCACGCACATGTTTTCCCCATGACCAGTCTTTTTTTCCACAAGCCCACTTGCATTGTTCACTGGGTTGCTCTTTCCCATGAGCAAAAGGTCTCAACGTTTGTATGTTTAATGAAGTTTCTTTTTTTTCTAAAAGGGCTAAGGGGCGACTCGGTCACAAAGATCAGTCATGTTTAGGGTATCGGAGAAACCCTTGTTACTCGTGATACCTCCTTTTTCAGTCAGGGGTTGATCTCTGGAGTGGTCCCGTGCCCAGCTGGACACCTACACTCCTAAGTCCTAGCGACCGTCCCGACCAAAACGTGTCCTCTACGGAAAAAAAAGTCATCCCTTAGCCAGCGCGCCTGCGGTGCTGCTCTGGGCGAAAGCCGCAGAAAAGCACACTGCTGAGCCCCAAGGCACAAACGAAGCTCCTACAGGCTCAAGCAGGCAGAAGCCTTGGGACAAAACGGGGGCTTTCCTTTTGGTTGTTTTGGTGAAAAAAACTCCAAAAAAGGAACACTGGGCCACTGGGTGTCTGGGCTTTTGGTCTTATACACTAACCCAAAATGGCCGGGATGTTGGAGTAGGGCAATAGCTAAATCAATACTGGGACCCTCAAGCAACAGAGTTGTGATTTCGCATCTGTTCGAGGACCTGTCCAGGTTGAGACACGATATTTGCAAATGCAAAGCGACACCACAGGTTGACCTGAAACAAACACACACGCACACACAAACAAACAACCAACCAACCAACCAACCAACCAACCAACCAACCAAACAAACAAACAAACAAACAAACAAGCAAACAAACAAACAAACAAACAAACAAACACACAAACACAAACACAAACAACAAGCAAACAAACAAACAAACAAACAAACAAACAAACAAACAAACAAACAAACAAACAAACAAACAACAAACAAACAAACAAACAAACAAACAAACAAAAAACACACAAACAACAAAAAAAAAACAAACAAACAAACAAACAAACAAACAAACACGAAAAACAAAAAAAGAAACAAGCAAGCAAACAAACAAACAAATCAACCATGGAGGTCTCTTGTTCAGGCAACTTGAATGAGGATGCTTGAACTGTGGTTAAAACAACAAGGTTGCTGTGGCACAACGGCAGAACATTGGTGCCCGAAGAGGGAGCCACGGAAAATCGTCACCATGCAACCCAGTGGAGACTTGGTCTTTTTCATGTTCGGAGCAGCAACCCTGTTTGCACCAGAACTCTGGAGCCCACATGTCATGTCAATCATCCACAGAGTTCAACAGCCAGGTTTTTTGCCAATTTCCTGTTAGTGTTTATATGACTCATCTGGGATCTGGGAGCTGTCCTACGATCTGCGAGGGTTTGTCTCAGGCACAGCCAACTCATGGCCTTCGACCTTCGACTTCAGGCTTTTACACTCCTTTTTTTCTTTTTCAGAGCTTTAGCACTCTCCAAATCGGATGGTTTTTAGGCGCCAGGATCAGATTGACCTGAGACTCTTAATGGGGGCCGAATGTAGTTACGTCCACGACAAACAAGCTGACAAAAATGGCTGTGCAAAACAATGCCATGCGGCCGGGCATCATATTTACTAACGACAACACTAAACCAACTCTTGTACAGACTCAGACTCCCCACAGCTCCTCATTTAGAGCTGCAAATAGCTCCATGTCCTCTGACAAACCGTGTGAGTGGGCAGCAGGTGCGCGGTTTCCTTGCGACCCTCTCCTCCAGATGGGGCGACCGGCCATTGCGGAGCACTGTGGACGTGTCCAGGGGACAAACCGAAAGCTGGCGATCCGTTTCCGACAGCTTGGTGAAAGAGGGCTAAACTTTTTTGGGCTTTGACAAGGTCTGAAGCTGGCCACCCGCAACCGGCAAGCGCTTGTCCCATTAAAACCCGGTTCCTTGTATCCGTGCTTGTTTGCGTTTTGCTTGTTTGCTGGTTGCAATTTTGGCACAATAGTGGTTGCTAGTTTGTTGTTTCGCAACACCAATACGCCTAGGTTGCCGGTGAGATCGAGCATTTGCCCAGAAAGATTCAACTTCAAGTCATTCCTCACACTTTGGGGGGCCTGTTGGTTCGCGCACAAGTGGAGCATGCGCACCGGGTATCACTTGAACGCAGCCCAAAGGAGCAAGTGGTCGATCCCGTGAACATCGATTATTGAAGGGCCTGTTGGCTGAACCTGACGACTATTGGTTCGACATTAGACCGGTGAATATTTATCTATAGTTGATACCAGGAAGCAAACACCACCTACCCCTCCAGATACCCGTGCCTCGTTTGGGCATATTTGACGGGCTACGGCCATCTATGAACCGGTGCGACTGCCGCCACTCGCCGCATGCCCGAAAGGTGGGAGCACCTTCGAGCCGAAGCTGCGCAGATCTCAAAATGTTTCTCACCTGTGAGCTCTTCGAACCTTCGCGAGCTCCCCCCGGAGAAAAAAAAAAAAACAATGTTGATGGCGCAGGCAGGTTTCAATCATGAATGCTTCTCCCAAAGCACTGCACTCGTCAAAAGCGCTTTACAGATTTCAACCCTGAGTGGAAAGATCTTCCCAAGTGATCAAAGTCCAGCACCTCTCTTGTGTTGGACTGGTGTGGCCCAGGGCGGAACTCCGAACTGAGTTGCACATGTGACTCCTATAGTAGGTACCCTTTGTCATGTGCCTTTTACATCCTTTTACAGTGGTTGTTCAAGGGCGGGATCTACATGCGTAGCTCCAAAATTTAGGTCCCAGCCCAAACAAAGGACACTGGAACCTCCAACTTGCCAAAAAAAATCGGATACCCTACTCCCCCCCCCTTTTTCCCCCTCCCCCCCCGGCCCCCCCCCCCCCTCCGGATTTTATGGGCTTCTTGTCCCTTTTTTGGGGGGAAGCCTCCCAGGCACCCGCCGCAAGTTTCGTGCCCAGGTCCCGGGCAGCTGCGGGTGGGCGATGAAGCACACCTGCGGCAGAGCCTGAAGACTTGGAGACTCGGCTTGAGACAAGAACGAGTTGAGATAGGAGGCATCAAAGGAAAACCTGGGGGAGCAACACAAAAAGGACTAACATTGGGGAACCAAGAGGTCGGAAGGTCGATTCGGTTTGGGCAGGCAAGAATGGGAAACCACTTGTTTTGGTGTCCCCCCATTTAATGTCACCGGGAAAAACGTGCAAGCAACCCGACCACAACCTCCACCAAACTTGACCACTAGGGCACAGAGAATGTAAAGCTAGTTTTGCTTGCATTTTTTTTAAGTCTATCTTATACAAAAAGCATGCAGGAGGCATTTCGAATTGATAGGTGCACCAAAACCATTCTGCAAACTTCAAACACCCGAAAAAGAGCATTTCCGGGATTTCCAAAGGACCTCGCCATTGGCAGATCGCTAACCCAAAAAGGTGCCGCGAGATGAACCTGGTCAGAATCCACCGGCCAAAGGACCCAGACCAAAACCAGGCGCGAACTGGCGACTGGGCCTACCTGTCAAAATAGAATCAAGAATTGTCCATCATCAAGCCCAGTGGATCTCAGGCAAGCCAGTTTTGGATTCCCCCCCTTTGGGCCTTTTGAGCGTGGTGTAATTATTTGGCTACTATGTAGGTAAACGGAATCGTTGGGAAACAAACGATCTTCGGACAAGATTAAGGCTAAGGCAGCAGATCTTCTAGTTACCACTGCGGGAATAGTAACCACTCCTTTCCTCTGCCCTCCTGTCAAACTAACGAACCCTTATCTGGGAGTTCAATGTCGGTTTGAGGCAACTGGTGGATTTGGATTGGTGGTTTGGAGGTGTTCCACATTTCTACAAGAACCAGGCGTTCAAACCACCCAAACAACCCACACCACTAACTAAGGGTTACCTGAATCCAGGCAAGCATACATACCGGAATACTGTACGCCAAAAGGGTCCCTTGGTTGGGAAGTTCGTCCGGGGTCAAAAGAAGCTCCTCAGATACCGAGCCTGAGCCGGCTGCCAAGATTGTTCCAACATCACTCCACGAGGAAACTCACTTGAGCGGTGCCGAAAAGTCCTGTGTAAAAAGCGGTCCTATGAGCTTGCTTTCGCGTACCCTTTCGCGATTTGGTAGCGATCACATGTTTTGCTTTGACGAAAAGCACCCTTTATGTACGCTTTTGCGGGGCCTTCGCGGCGAGACCTTCTTTAGGCATTTTCGTGACACGCTTTTGCAAGCACCTGTACTTTTGATTTCCAGGCTTTACGGCGCTCGTTTAGAAGTCCACAAAGAAACTGGCAAGGGGCAATCAAGTAAAATCCGAAAACATACCCGTTTCTTCGAGAGGCAACCAAAAAGTTAACCAGCACAAATCAAAAATCTACAGAGAGGCCATGTCTTGGAATCACACTGCTCCGACCATATGTGGCTAGTCATTTTTGGTCAAAGCAACACAACGTTGCGAAACTACAGCAACAAAGCACTACAGGAGCATTACCATTATAGAGGCGATGGGTCAATCCAATAGGTACGCTAAGTCCTGCAAATGACGACATGTCATTGCTTAAATCAAGCACAATGGGGCGCTATAGTGGTTCCTTTAGGCAAAGTTACGGGGCAACAGAACAAGTTAACATGTTGGTACTTTTGCAAAATGACCTATGACAACAACGGAACACAGGCACCCCAAACAAGACCGGAAGCACATCTACGGAGCCATCCTTACACTTTCCCAGAAAGGACATCCACGAGCTCCGAGCTGATCTAGTTTTCAACCCGGTCTCCCGCCGGAATCTTCTGAGAAACCAATTCCCAGAAACTCCGAAGTCGCGGGGTTGACTTATCGCATAAGGGACTCCTTTTGACGCAGGAAATGGCTAGCTCGTAAGGTGACGCGGGGAAACCCGGCTCGAGCCAGCTATGATTGTTGCTGCTGAAGGGAAATTTCCGCCAAAGAAAAGGTTGAACACAGGGCACAACTGGAGGTCTGCGCTGAAATGTGTCCAAAGTGTTTGTTTGATTGAAAAGAAACGGTGCCTTGCCGGCTGCCATCGGACTTTTCTTTCTCGGCGAGCTGACGCAAACTTCTGGACCTGTCATCTTCCTCGTGGAAAACCGACCACTGGCCAGTGTGGAAAAGAACTCAGCGGTTTCCAAAATCGCTGGCGAAAAGGCATGCACGTTCCAAGGGCCAAAAGCCCTGAAATGTGCTATAAGTGGACCTTGCGGCGAATTCCGGCCTGTGACTTTACAGGCGCCCGAAATGCTGTAGTGGGAACCACAGAGGCCCCAGGTGCGGAAAAGCGTGCTCTTCGTCTGGTTGGTGTCTTAATTTAGAGGGAAGCCCTTCACCGAAAAAGGAACTAGTGTGAATCGGGTAACCGCCTTGGGCATCTCTTCCAGAGCTTGCACCCGTAACAAAACACATATTAAGACTGGTGCAAACTCCTTCTCTTGGGACTGAGTTCAAACGAAGCGCTGCTTTCCCGGCTTTTAAATCTTTTCGGCCAGGATGTAGTACATCGGAGTAAAGATCTTCTGCTCACCTCGGAGTGGCGGAGAGCAGCGGTTCTCTGAGTGAGTAAACTCATCCACCAAGACGCCCATGGCCATTCCCGGATTTTGGCCCATGTTCAACGAAGAACTGTGGCTTCCTCAAGTTTTCAAGGGGGCTTTGGCCAACCCTGCCAGTTACTGCAGCTAACTCTTCGCCATGATCCTTTGGTTCCCGGACACTGAAATCACTGGATGTGTCCCGTCAGTTTGGCGGCGTGTGGTGCGAACAATTTAATTGTGTGTGGGGGGGTTCAGCACCTGCGGGGGGGGGGGGCCTTTTAACCCGAGGGAAGGTACCTGGAGGTTAAACCCGAGGGCAGGTACCTGATATCAAAGGAAACTCGCCATGCCCGACATGTGATGTTCAAGCCGCCAAGGGGAATAGGGAGGGGGCATGGGATTGCTTTGAGGCTACAAGAAGACCAAGGGAAAACCAGTGGAGAGTGGCGTATCTTGACACACACACCCCCATGTGAGGATGGTTTGGTCAGAACATCCAGGAACCAAGCGCAGACCTTAAGGCGCGGAGGGACAAGCGCTGTCCGAGTCTCTCAAGTGTTTGCGGCACTTCCCCCACATAGTCTGACACTTCCCCCAAAGAGTGGTGTTTTGACGTTCAGGGAAAAACAACGCTCCTTTTTTGTAGTTGACTTTAAAGGAAAACCTAGACAAAACAAAATGCAACAGAGGGCACTGGGTGGTTGGGTCCGGCCATCTGGATGTTTTGACCGAACCTCTTGGCAGCTTGCCCTCTTGGCTGGAAGGCCTTGAGCTGGTCGAGCAAAAGAAACTGTGTGAAAAAACTTTGCATTGGTTGTTCAAAAAGAAACAGGTCCCCTGATTCACCCTCACGACCTGTTTTTTGCCCAAGGCTACAACAAAAACGTATTCATGACGTGTTTGTTACAAAGCGTCTGAAGAGCAGGAGTCCTGGACAAAATGGGCGGAGGCGCATGTCCCAGTAAAGCCGTGGGAGCTGCGAAAAGCCTGGACCCCCTCTAGTATTTGAAGGCACACCAAACGGAAACTTCGCACAATTCCCATTTGGATCCAGCCCGCAGTCCGTCGGAAGACCATTTGAGTCACCCCAGCTTGACATCCGAACTCGGCTTCAAATCTTTCCCAAAATCCGCCACGGGGCCGCCCTTGACGAGGTTGATGGAGGCGTACCGCAGCATCTGCTCGGTCTTGGAGGCCTCTTCCGGCACCAGCCCCACCTGTGCCGACATCGATTCGATCGAGTGCCGAACCAGATGCGCTGGCAATGGGTGGGTCTCAAAATGGAGCGTGTTCCTTTTGTTTGATTTAGTTTGTGTGTTTTTGTCATGTTTTTTGTGGTTGGGCTGGTTTTTGATGAGATGGCATTGCTTTCCCCAACCAACGTCAAAAGGTGGCGCCTCAAAGGACGAAGCATCCTCCAGAGGCGGGTATCTGCACCCAAAATTGAGACACACCCGTGTCAATAAATATTTGAAGGAGTGCCATTTTGGTGATGCATGGGCCAGGGTGAAAGGGGTGCGATTATGATCCTTCAAAAGATGACCACAGCGCAAGGGAAGCAGATTGGTCCGTTTTCTTCTCTAAGAATCGCAGGGGGCCTCCTTTAAGGGTCGGAGATTATGTTCCAATCCAATGAAGATCCAGAACCCTCCAATCCATCCAATGATGCTTCTGGCTCCAACTAGTTTTCCTACATCATGCTAGTTGATCTCAACGGGTCCCGCCCCCACCAAAACAAGGATGAAGAAAGGACCCAGAGGATCAGAGGCCAGCCAAAATAGCGTGCAACCAGCCATTTTCCTCATAAACAGTGGTTCCATTGGCCGAATTGACCGCTCGGACATGATTCGAGCTGGTCACACCAATGGGGCGCCTCCCACAAAACCGGTCCCGAGGAGCCCGGTGCGGTGAGGCACCCGTCCTCCCGGCCTTGTAGGCCAACCACAGGAAGCTGCCGAGAGCTCGCTGCCCAAAGTCCGAGAGAGCGAAGGTTCTGAAGGAGGAGAAGGAGTAGGTCTGAGCCTCGACCCCAAAAAAACAATTCTGAGCCAAGAAACACAAATTGCAGGAAGCATAATCGATAAACTTCTGGATAAACTTATGGATGGATGGGGCCTCAAACTGCCCTTATATAGATGTTATATATTGCCCAACATATCAGGAATTCCCATTGTACTGGTCCAAGGGTAATTCGTGGTCCAGCGATCCCTGGCGAAAAGTTGAACTGCTTGTGGGATATGGCGTCCATCCTTGTAAACTCGAACAAAGCAACAGTCTTCGGAATTGGCTGACCGACGCTTCAACCCTGATTTAAATACTGCCAAGGACCCAATTTAGATAAACAAAATCCCTTATAATGGTAGGCATATAGATCCCGATTGTGTCGGTGTTGATTGGAAAACCAAAGGTAAATGGATTAAACAAAACATGAATGGGACAAATCCAGAACTAGATAGATGAATGG